ATCTATCTATCTATCTATCTATCTATCTATCTATCTATCTATCTATCATCTATCTATCTATCTATTCATCTATCTATCTATCTATCTATCTATTCATCAATTGATCTATCTACCTATCTGTCTGTCTGTCTATGTCTCTGTCAGTCATCTATATCTATCTATGTATATATACATCCATATATATATATATGTATATCTTACTTTCTACACACAAAAAATTTTAGTCAAAACAGGTTATAAACTTAAATCTAAAAGGCAATCAGAACCTTTGAGCAAAACATAGTAATAAATCTTTGCACAGAGGGATTAGAAATGATGTTTTAACTATAAACACCAAGAAACAGCTGACAGAATAAAAATTGATAAAGTGAACCTCATTTAAAAAAAATCACTCTTCTACAAACACTAAAAAGGAAACCAAAGAATGGGAGGAAATATATACAAAAAAAATAAAAATTGATAAAGTGAACCTCATTTTAAAAAAAAATCACTCTTCTAAAAACACTAAAAAGGAAACCAAAAAATGGGAGGAAATATATACAAATCACTTGTCTCATTTAATATTTGTTTCTCAAATATATAAACAACTCACAACTTAGTAAAAAGACAACTGAATATATAAATAAGCACACAACTTGAGTATGTCATCAAGGGCAATGGGCACATGAAACTACACTCAACATCATTAGTAACTAGGAAGCTGAAGACCACCATTTTGTCCTCCCTGAAACGGCTGTGACCCGGAAAAGAAACAGTAACGGGCGATGTAAGGGAACTGGAGCTTTTCCCACGGTTGGGTATTCATGGGTGAGCCATGGATGGTTTGAAACTCCACTAAAAGGGAGTTTACCCTGCAACCTAACGTTTCTTCTACAGAGAAATAAAAACAGTATGAATATTCAAAGACTTTCAGGTAAGTGTCATCGGCAACATTATTCACAGGCCACGTGTAGAAACAGCCCAAATAGTCACAGCAGTTCAGCTGAATGAATAAATATGATATGCTGTGATGTGTTGGCATGTGCATATTTCTATGCTCACTTATTACAACAGTTTTATATATCTGTATTCTCAAATTAGCATGAAATTCTACAATCTCCACAGATAATATAGCACTGTCTCAAGAATGAATGCATATGTATAATTAAAAATTAATGTCTTTCTAATTTTCAGCTCAGATATTATCTGGTTTGAAATTCTAGACCTTTCTACTTCTTAGTTTTGTTTTCCTAAGCTAGTTATTCAACCTCTCAGGGATCTATGCTTTTCAGATTCTGACAATGATAATATTCCTCATATGATTGTGGGATTAAATGATATAAAATATTCAGAGTGTTGAGCATTGGTTTTTCACAGCAGAAGTCTTTAGAAAACTGGAAAAATCCAGTTTCTACTCACATAGGAAGGAGAAGGCAGCCATTTGGTGAAGTGGAGAAGATTCCTTCAGTCCTTCCAGCCGTCAGCCTTAAAGTGTTTCACGTAATCTCTCAGTCTCAAATTGCCAAAATTGCCAAAATGTAAATGAGGGTCAAACCGCAATTCTAAAGGACATACAACTATGGGGCCGTATGACAGGGTTTCACATACCACAAAGCATGATAATTTATAAATTCCTGTATTATCATAGCTTCTGTCCCCATCATACTACCCAGGATGTTTCTAGAAGAACCACACTAACTACCCATAGCAGTTAGGACATTGTAGAGTTGTTTCTCCACCCTCAGTTCATATTGAAAGAATCCGTTCATGGCCACAGTGTCTGTGACAAGGCATTTTCAAAACAAAGTTTACCCTGCATTGGTTGAGCACCGAGTAAGGAGAGTCATGTCAACTCCTATCTGAAACACTCCGCCTGTCCTCACTAGCTATCGGGCTCAGCTAAATATGGCTCTGGCCACTGTGTGAATAATCCCTGCTGGTTCTGAGACCTCCATCCACCACTGATGTGACATTCTTTGTGTTCAAATGTCTAGCTGACGTCTGATGCTTAAAACAGCCCATGCTTTCAGCCTCTCCACATTGTCAGAGCCCTGCATCACCTCTCTTAAAAGGCTCCCGAGGCCACTCCTCACGCCAGCTGCCGACCAGCCTGACACTTGCCTCCCGGTCAGCCTCTGCTTGCCTTGAATGCCTGCTTCTTCAAGTTTTTGGGGTGACTGACGAGGTTGGGACCATGTCTACCTTTGGTTACAGAAGGGGACTTAGTAAATATGAATCCATCGATGAGGATGAACTTCTGGCCTCCCTCTCGGCTGAGGAGCTTAAGGAGCTTGAGAGGGAGCTGGAGGACATTGAACCAGACCGAACCCTTCCTGTGGGGATGAGGCAGAAGAGTCTGACGGAGAAAACCCCCACAGGGAACTTCAGCAGGGAGGCGCTGATGGCTTATTGGGAAAAGGAGTCCCAAAAACTTCTGGAGAAGGAACGGCTTGGGGAGTGTGGAAAGGTAGGCTTTGAAGACTGTGCCCTGGCTGTACCCATCCTCCTTACCCCACCCCTCACTCCAAAGCCAGACACCCCTCTTTTCTGAGAACACAGCTTCCCAGTGTTCATCACTTAAATTTCCTTATAGCCCAATTGTGTTCATTACTGCACTATTTTCTGGGCCAAAATGGTCTTGGTGAGAGTAGTTTTATTGATTAAAAATGAGAACCTGGAAAGGGAACCGTTTCACAGAGTATTGGTTTGAATGAGTCATCAAATACTCTGAGGCCCTGATTGTTGCGTCACATGTTTCTGGTACAATTTTCCTTCAGTGAAGTACATTTATTTCTTGATCCTTTAGCAGCAATAATGGCGGCAGTAAAAGCAGCTTTATATTTCCAATGCCCAAGTTCAAAGCTATGGGGCGAGGATGGAAATAAGAGTCAAGAGTCCTCTTTGCTCCTCCTGTTTGTCCTTAAGTTGTCAGAGTTTGTACAGACAATCATTCCTTCAAGGATTCTCTTTCCACGTGTCCATTGAGAGAGTTCAGTTTTTTTGTTTCTTTAGTGAATCAAGAGTCTCCCCTCCCCATTGAGATTCCAACAAGTTCTAGTGCTTTGCCCAAAGAGAAGCCATGCTTTAGCATAGAATCTAAAGGAAAAAACCCACCAAGGATGCAGGCTGAACCTGCGTGTACAGCTGCGTCTATGACAATCTTCCTCCTTGAAGGGGATTCTGAGACTAGGAAAGATGCTTATATGGGAGAGCTCAGGTCTAGGAAGCCCATGTGTGCTGCCCAGGCAAGAGTCATTTTGAATTTCCCAATGAGTCATCGCTGTAAGGCAGTTCAAAAGACTAACCTCTGGGAAAGTCATTATAGTGGTAGAATGTTATTATAGGAAAGAAACTTTGAGTTCATGGAAGAGAAAAAGAAACAAGACTACAAACAACTATTTAAAAACTTGTGCACGCCACTGAAATCATTTGTAACGAAAATAAACTGGCTCATGGTGGCCAGCTTGCCGCAGTACTAACGTGGGAACCGTGGTGATCTTGGCGATAGCTGTGTGCACATTTGTAGCAAGATATGTGTGAGCTTAGCCTGTGTCAGTCATCGTCGGAAGGGCCACTGGGACCAAGCCAGGATCTTCCAAGGCCACTGTGGCTGCAGTCACGAGAAACCAGAGGGAGAGATGAGGAGAGAACACTTATGACCAGTGAAGATCTGGGCCAGTCAGTTCTCCCACGACTGTCACTTAAAAGTCGAATTTGTTTTGATTGGTGTCCTTATTTGTTTTTGGTTTGTTTGTTTGGAATGCACCTAAGAGTCAACAGTCTGATGAAATAGAACGACGTCTTAACTATTCTTGCTAAAAAAAAAAAAATTCTCCAGCCTGAGAATGCAACTATCCCTAAGAAGCCAGAACATAGAGGCACCTACAACAATAACAGGACAAAGGCATTTTAATGTCATAATGTTATGACAGCAGAGAGAAGCAAAGGGCAAAGCCTCTTGTCAGCTGCTGTTGACACCCACCTCCTGCTGCCAAAGGTTTTGCTGATCCTGCCAGTGGCTTATCAGTCCAATTAGAGAGGCTGTCTTTTTTACGGACTTTGATTCCTTGCTCAGCTGGTTCACTTTTCTCCCACTTCACGGTCCCAGCCAGCTGTCTCTGTAGTCACAAGGGTGCTGAGCAAAAGCCTGCTGACTGACAGACGGAGTAAATCCAGTCCCACCACAGGGAAAACATCCAAGCAGCTGAGGGGAGAGGGGAGCAGATGCTTGTCTCAAAGACGATGGCACAAAGAGGTTCCATGAGAAGGAGCAGGGATCTGGATGGGATGGGGTGGTGAGGCCACTGGCTTTGTGAAGGTTTAGGAACAGTTTTTGTAGCACCTACTTAGTGACAGCCTTTTTTTTTCTATTTTTATCTAGAGTGACATAAATGTGTCCTACATCAGTTCTAGGCGTCCTGGACATGTAACAGTTCAGTTTTCCTCACTCGAGTAGTTGCCGGGGCTAAGGCCCAGGGCCAATAAGGTTTTTCTCACCTTATCTCATCTCATCTTACTTTCTGCACTTGAGAGCCAGGACCAGGAAAAGTTAAGGAACTTATGTGAGGGTAGCAGCTTTTCAGTCAAGTTGGGATTGAAGCTAGAGACTCTTGGCATGAAGGTAGTTTTTCAGATGTGTAGATGCTGGCCCAGCAGGAGGAACATGGTCTGGTACTTCAAAAGGCACAAATTCTTCAGGCTCTGCAGATGGGAAACCATCAGGGTAGGCCCAACTAGCTGGGGTCTAGCAACCCCATCTGACCTTTAGGACACACGCTAACATTAGGACTATAAGAATCATGCAGTTTCTTGAGACCCAGAAAGGTCAGATGATTTGTCTAAAGTCAACCAGCTCTTGACATGGAGAACCAGGACCAGAGCTGAAAGCCAAGCCTCTTGCTTCCCTACAGCCATGATGGTGTTGTGGAGATAACCGGAAGAGGCTGGCTGTCTCCTGGCTATTGCCCTGTTTACTCTCCATGTTCACCGGCATCTGCATTCTGTCTGCTCAGTCCTTCCCACTTCATCTCCCACCTTTACTATGTCCACCTTTCCACCGCATTCCCCAGAGGATCAATCCTAACTCCAAAGCAGCAGATGTAGGAAACCAGTGAGCACTTCCTCTCCGATGTAGGACTGATTCATAAAGGAGCAGGGATCGCCCTGTGGGCCATCCGACCTTTCCCTTTCCCCTTGCTGCTGTCTTTTCTCCCATACGCTCCCCTCCCGGAGTGATCAGCAATTTCAGACTGCCCTGGACTGCTTTAGAAAATTTCTGTATCTTGGTAAACCCTCAGGCTTGGGCAAATAGCCAGGGCACTTGGTCACCTTATGCCATCTGACCTTATCAGTATTTCCTCTAGGTATGAGAAGCTGTTAACCAGTGTCAACTGAGATCATGCAGTAAATGCATGTTCACTGAGCCTCTCTAAGATGTTAGGCACTGTGCTAGGTGAGAAAAACGACACGGGCCTACACCCATTTCAAACAGTCTATGGAGAAAATGGCAAACAAGTAGTTAAAGTGTGCGCTGTAGCTTATTGGGAGAATTGTCAATGCAGACATCTCAGGGACTACTTCAGGAAGGGTTCAAAGGCGGGCTCCTAGAAGAGGCGTCAATAGACATTATATAACAGCTCACGTTGCTAAAGAACCGACATGATTTTCAGCTATATTTTGAAGGGGGAGGGCATTTGTAGAGAGAGGCTAAAGATCTTTAAGTACTAAAGGAGATGAAATTTTTGTGGTTGTATGAAAGCAACCTACTGTGGATTTTGAGACAGTCCAAAACCACAAGGATACAGCACACGCCCTTAGATAACTGATGGAGACCCCACTTTGGAGAACTTACACAAAGTGACTTCAGTTGGGGTGTCAGAACTCTGTCTAACTGATCCATGGTCTGCTTTGCAGGGGGCTTGGTATCCTTGACTCCTGTCCTTCCACCCCTTTGACAAACAAATAGACAGACAGACAGACACCCTCTCCCTTCTTCTCCTAATATATCAAGTAAACTGAGACTGGACAGGTCATCCCAGGAGAGGCTAACCCTTTCCCAGGCCATCACTTGGTGCCTGTCACTCTCAACAAGTGTAGCTAACTGGACGCTATTTTGTGACAACTGGGCGGACAAACCTGGAGACCAACAGTGTTTTCCAAAGCTTCATCCTCATGCACATGCCACAGGCAGCAGCACCCCTGGAAGAGAAAATAAAAGTGCTCCCAGTGCAGAGGATGGAAGAGGCTGTGGGGGAAGGAAGGGCCATGGGGCTTTGAAAGAGACAAGGAGAAAGACTCACAAGAGAGCAAAACGGACACTCTCGGCATTTCCAAGGCTTTTCCTAATAAAAGACAAAACGACAAAGAGAAAGCAGTCTTTTGGGAGTCTGCAAAGGGACTTGTGAATAGAAGAGACAAAGCTAGAATCAAATCCCGTTTACCTGACGTAATGCTAATTACGTAATGCTAATTACGTTTAAAGCCTTAGGCTGGGCAAAGACTGGCTTTGAACTTCCCTGGGGCTGTCTGCTCCGCAGCACTGCTGGGTGGGATCTAGGGAGGCGAGCCTTCTGCAGGCTGTCATGCTTTACCATGGCACCCACCAAAGCTTCGGCTTACTGTTTGTTTTCCCAGAGAGCAGCTTGTGGTCTGCCCTGATCAGTGACTCTAGGGGAGTGTGGCATTTCCACTTGCTTGTGCTGGGTGCCATCACACAACAGATAAATGCTAGAGCCGCATCTGCTTCTCGACACGGAGCCTAACAGGCCAGAGGGCACTAGGCTTGGTCACATCTGGAATTGACGGAACATCTGGGGAATAAACATTTTTGCTTGGCTTATGCTCCCAGCCCTGGGCCCTCTCTTTGAGGCAGAGTCACTAAATTACCTAGGCTGACCTTGAACTCTCTCTGTGATAGACAAGCCTTGAACTCACTACTCTCTTGTTTCTTAATTAGCCAAGGTAACAGGTGAAATTTGAGCATCAAGGACAGGGAATTCATGGTCATATTGTTTATTTTTGTTGTACTTGTTTGGTAGATAATAGGAAAGGACAGTGTAATCCAGAGAGATTTGCAAAACTGGAACAAAATGAGTTGGGAAGTCAACATACTAAAGTTTTCTTATTTTCTTTTTTTTATTTATGATGGCACATGTACAGGTCAAAAGACCAGGGGATTGAAGTCCATTGGGCTTATGCTGCAAGTACATTTATCTGTTGCAACATCTTGCTACGCCTAAAATGTTGAAAAATGTATCCAGCATTTTCTGAAGTTGAAGCTCAGACTTCTGTATTCAAACTAGGAAAACGATCAAATATTCTTATTCAGTAAAAGCCCACTATTTTGTAGAAAATGAATGTTTACAGAAAAGCGGTTAGTGATTATGCAACCAAACATTGACCTTGGCCACTTGAACTAGAGAGGTGAGAACCAAGGGCTTGCTGACCCTGCTCCCCAGGACCTTTGAGGTACTTAAGTTAACTTTTGTAAACTCATAACGCTGCTTGCAGGGAAACCTTAATGGTGTCAATGCACTCCTTAGGTTGCAGAGGAAGACAAGGAGGAGAGTGAGGAAGAGCTAATCTTCACAGAAAGCAACAGCGAAGTCTCTGAGGAAGTATGTACAGAGGAGGAGGAGGGGCAGGAGGAGTCTCAGGAGGAAGAGGAAGAGGAAGAGGAAGAAGAAGAGGACAGTGAGGAAGAGGAAGCTACAACTGAAGCTACAAAACACATTAACGGAACTGTAAACTACAGTAGCGCTAATTCAGATAACTCCAAGCCAAAGACATTTAAAAGCCAAATAGAAAACATAAATTTAACCAATAGCAACAGTGGAGGGACACAGAGGAACACAGAGTCGCCTGCCGCCATTCACCCTTGTGGAAATCCCACTGTTATTGAGGACGCCCTGGAAAAGATTAAAAACAACGACCCTGACACAACAGAAGTCAATCTGAACAATATCGAGAACATCACCACACAGACCCTGTCCCGCTTTGCGGAAGCGCTCAAGGAGAACACAGTCGTGAAGACGCTCAGTCTGGCCAACACGCACGCGGATGACGCCGCGGCGATTGCCATAGCAGACATGCTCAAGGTCAATGAGCACATCACCAGTGTCAATGTGGAGTCCAACTTCATCACGGGCAAGGGGATCCTGGCCATCATGAGAGCCCTGCAGCACAACACGGTGCTCACCGAGCTGCGCTTCCACAACCAGAGACACATCATGGGCTCCCAGGTGGAGATGGAGATTGTCAAGCTGCTCAAGGAGAACACCACGCTGCTGAGGCTGGGCTACCATTTTGAGCTCCCAGGACCAAGAATGAGTATGACGAGTATTTTAACAAGGAATATGGATAAACAGAGGCAAAAGCGCATGCAGGAGCAAAAACAGCAAGAGGGGTATGACGGAGGAGCTGCTCTTAGGACCAAAGTCTGGCAAAGAGGGACACCAGGCTCTTCTCCGTACGCCTCTCCAAGGCAGTCTCCCTGGTCATCTCCCAAAGTCTCCAAGAAAGTCCACACTGGGAGAAGCAGACCTCCATCTCCGGTAGCCCCTCCCCCTCCTCCTCCCCCTCTTCCTCCGCACATGCTGCCTCCTCCCCCTCCTCCCCCTCCTCCTCCACTCCCAGAGAAAAAGCTCATCACCAGAAATATCGCAGAAGTCATTAAACAACAGGAAAATGCCCAGCGGGCCCTACAAAATGGACAGCGAAAGAAAAAAGGGAAGAAGGTTAAGAAACAGCCAAACAACATCCTAAAGGAAATAAAGAATTCTCTGAGGTCAGTGCAAGAGAAGAAAATGGAAGACAGCTCCCGACCCTCTACCCCCCAGAGATCAGCTCATGAGAACCTCATGGAAGCCATTCGGGGGAGCAGCATAAGACAGCTCCGGAGGGTAAGTCACCCCAGAACTAACCTTAAGGTGAAATTGATTCAGTGAATCAGTCTCCATGGATGGATGCTATCAACGCCACCTCTCCAAATTCTTACTAATCTTTTAATATCTGTGCACGCGAGAGCAAGCACGCCAAGTGTCAGTCAGCACTAGGGGCAGGCACAGTGAGTGGGAGAATGAACACATTTCCATGCGTGCCAACTTATTATCTCAGCCAGGATCATTTTATGCCACTCCAACAAACAAAACTTCAAATCCCCTGATTAAAAAACAAAATAAAGTATTATCCGCATTCCGAAAAGATTCATCACTTCTCAGAATTTTCACCCTAAACTGCAAAGGATTTACTACCAAATTTATAGACGTGGGTGATCACCACTCGGTGATCATAATCTACATTCAAATTCCCCTCAGGGAAAAGTGCTAAAGGTAGATCCTACAGGTGGCGGTGAGATGGTGGTGATTTACTTGAACACTCTTATTGCTTGATTGAAAGGCCACACCTGTCTTTGTAGGTGGAAGTTCCCGAGGCTCTGAGATAGACCTGTCTGTAGAAGAGAACCCAGAACTGTGCAGTGGTGTGACCTGAGGGGCCTTGCAAGCTGCTTCCAAAGTGCCTTCTTTAATTTGAAATGTTCCCGACTTCAACAAAAGTGTCACTGTGGAATTCCAAAGGGAATTTTAAGAAGCAATCAGCACGTTTCTTCTGTAAATATGAAAATAAACTTTTTCTTTAAGGTCATAAGATTTTGTGCGGATAGAGGCTGCGGATTTCTTTGCAGCTCTGGTGTCTCGGTGGCAAAGTGCAAATCACTTAAAGAAATGTGCTATTATTTTTGTAATCCCAATAACCTTAGATTAAAGTTTTTTCTTTTTTTTTTTTAAAGAGAAACTATTATTTTTCTGAGTTAATACATCTGCTGGCTATGTATGTAATATTGCTAAATATTAAAAGCATTATGTTCTCACACCAAAAAGGTCCATGCTCTTAGCATTTGCTTTCTTTCTTCATGCCCAAGAAATTCTAGCCAGATCTCTTTCCAGAAGATAAAGCTGAAGAACTTCCGAGGAAGATGATCACGTAATTCTCAGGATTATTTTGTTCACTCATCCCATCTCTTAGAAAGAATATCTGGAACCAAAGAAGATTCCAGATGTTTAGTCAGTGCCTGAGGTTCACATTAGCAGGCGGTAGATGAGGGTCTTTCGCTGAACTAAGTTATTTTGTGTATATTTCACGGCATGAAGAGGCGCTCTCTCCATCGGACAGGTGGGAAATGGAGGAGCAGAGGCTAATGTGAAGCTGGGCATCACTGGTTGCGAAGCCTGGGCTGCTGTGTGCCGCTGCTCACGGCCCTTACCCAGAACCCAGATGCTAGTCTCCTGATGGCCCTCATTCCTAGACACTCAGTGTAAACTGCTGTTCCCTGTGGGGGTGTCTGCACTATTTTCATCCTTTCCACTAGTGTGCAACAGCATGTTTGACGTAAGGTTGAAGGTGTGTGTATGCTTCTGTTCCTGTGCATGTTAACTCAGCACAGAAAGCCAGACCTTCCTTTTTCCTGACATCATTAGTGAGACCGCACAGAACTTCCCAGAGGAGGAGGGAACAGCTGATAGCATTTGTGTTACCAGGAAGTGCTTAGCTGTGGAGGCTAAGTCTTCTCCCCAGAATCCAGGGACTAAATGACAAGTCTCCACATTGCACTGCAAAAGCCGGCCTTGCTGGATCTCTGTGAACCTTAGGAGAATGCAGAAGGACTTAGGAAGCATGCCACAGAAGTGGGATGTAGAGACATGGGCCCTCCCAGCTCACAAAACAGCATATTAAAAAAATTCAGAATAAAGACAAGCATGATGTAGCTAAGCATCCAGTGAGCACATTAATTCTTAATGAAAAGCACGGTAGAGCATGTTCTATCAGGGTCCAGTGCTGCAAATAGGCAGGGCATTATGACAGATGTCATTCAACAGCCCGAGAACTCACAAAGCTGGGGTCAAAGCCTATTAGTTCACCTCCTATAAAAAGCATCCCAGTTCCCTGAGGGAAAGACTGCACCAGACCAGATGAAGTGTTTAGGTGGTGATTTACACGCGCACATCGCTCTCTGAAAATACACCTCATCCTGATTCGAAACGGGGTCAAAAACACCGAGGCCCACTCTGCTTCCCAGGCAGTGCTCCACGGCCACAGGTGCTGAATGACTCTACGTCAGCAAGATCTTGACTTACCACCTGCCCTGAGATACTTACTACCGAGGAGTGAGAGGAGGCAGGAGGGACACCTGCCATGTCTATGCTGAGATGATTCAATGGCTGGAGTAAATCAGTATGTTCTTGTTAAGATTTCCTAAGAACTTCCTTTCTTGAATAAGCCTTTTCAGGTATGGGAAGTGCGCGTGCGTGCGTGCGTGCGTGCGTGCGTGCGTGCGTGCGTGTGTGTGTGTGTGTAAAGGTAACACCATCTTTTCCTTCTATGAGGGTCTTAAGGCAGAGTTTCATTTCCATTAATCACCAGATAACATGATATAAAGGCAAAAGATTGTTCTGAAACTTAGAACAATGGCACCGAGATCGATGTATGTGACTTCCACAAATATTTTCCAAGTGCTCACTACATATCCGGACATTCTTCCAAACACTGAGTTAGAAACCAAGGAACTAGAACCTGGTCCTGATGCAACCTGTTTTCTAGTGTCAGCATTCCTCATAGACTGTGCACTAATGTACCCAATGGTTCCAAGAATGAGCAGCTCTGCTCTGTACTGGGGACATCACGGAATCAGAAACCCCCTCCACATAAAAACTGTGGAAATGCCAAAGACATCAACCCTTTCAGGAAGCTCAAGCACTTCTTTACTTGAACTTGTTCAAAAGCAGGCACTGGATGGCTTTTGTTGGCGAGTCACATTTTATCACAGACCCTTATCTAAGACAGACACAAAAAGGAAGGCAGTCTCTCAGATAGGACAATATGGATTTTTAAATACAAATGTGTCCAGACCTCAAAACACACACACAAAACGAAGAAAAACAAAAGCTCTCACAAACGTTCAATGATGTGAGATATTTCAGTTTGACAGTGGTACACACAGTGGCCTGCAATCAAGCTTTAATGTTATTCTGTAAAACAACAACTAGATAAAAAGTTATTAGTGTTTAAATCGGTTTTCCCAACTTACACGTTTAAGACCACAGGTATTGTTCTTTTTAAAAATAATATGATGTTGAGAGGGCCCGGGCGGCCTGCAAGCCAGGCAGAAGCTGTTGCCAGAGCAGTACAGGGTCCCTGGGCGAGCAGCAGAGTCAGGCAGCTGGATGCGGTGAACGGAAGAGTAAATGGACATAAGGCTATACATAAAGCTAGACATTTATTACTTAAAGAAAGGGAGATATAGACAAACATAGAGAGAACAAAGACACACGTACATACGACACAAAACACACACACACACACACACACACACACACACACAGATGCGCGCGTGCGCACACCAGAGAGAAGATGGCTGGGGTGGGCGTGGTTAGTTCTTAAAGTGGCAGCAGAAGACTAACAACAGGGAATGGTTCAGTCAGGAATGTGATTTGGAACTCAGAGCCTGCATAAAAAACCTGCTATGGACATCCCAGCACTGAGAGTCAAGGATAGCTCCTGGAGGCTTGCTGGCCAGCCACACCAACTGAACCACCGAGCCCCAGTTTGCTTCCAGGAAGACATTCACAAACAGGCAGGGAATCCAGAGCAAAACCCATCCCTGTTTGGGTTGTTCCAGAGCTCCTGTAGTAGCTCGGTCCCTCACGCTGGAGGTTAGAATGGTATAGAAGGAAAGCAGCACAGCCACGTCTTGGCATTGTGACTGAGCTGAAAACAGGCTAGCTGTGTTCAGTTCACAAATTCAAAGTTGTTACGTGGCTGAAAAGGATCACAGCTGAAATACGAGGACGTAGGACTTGTCCCATAGCCCCAAACAGGAAAAAGCCTATTGACAGGGTCCTGTCCACCCTTCATCTCCTCGTCCTCCCTCCCTCCCATCCCCCGGTTAAGTTTTCAAGAGAGTGCGGCTAGGGAGCAGCCAGGTGGGCAATTCTCTGCGCATGCTTCAGGTTCCTTTTCTGGAACCACCCTGCCTCCATGTGTAGTCCAGAGCAATGGTCAGTAGGTTCCGTTAGTAGAGCTGCGAGAGGCAAGCACTTTCAATTGGAAAATGAAAATCTTGTTCTCAAAAGAAGTCCTCTTGAGGTAGGTAACCATAATCTTTAAAGCCTTATGTTTTGAGGTCATTAAATAAATTTGTATCTAGGACTGAGGCTTTTGACACTGGCTCTTCTGCACTGATTTTTAGAAGTAACCTGTTCCCAACTGAAACACTGTAATTAGCTGGAGTATAATTACCCAAAGTTAAATGTTTGTTAACAACATAACATTTTGGAGCCATATATTCAAGTTTTAAAAATTAGACACCCAATTGAAAAGCATTCCAAACCACTCTCATCAGAGTAAGCAGTTATTGGCGTGAGTACTAACTTTCTCTTCCTGAATGAAATCTGATGATCCATTACTCACTGTTACATAAACAGCAACAAATGTCTAGAGTTACTTTAGGTTACAATTGTACAGGTTGTCTTCTGTAAGTTTATCAAAAAATAATCCTCATCCAAGATAGGGTGTGGTGTGCCATTACCCAAGATTAAAAACCAATATAATGATAATAATAATAATAATAATAATGTGATAAAAAATAAGAAGACCAGAAGATTCAACTAGTAGCCCAAAGTTGCCCTTGACTTAGATGGAGAGTTGGAAAATAAATTCCGCTAAAAGAGAAAAGTCTGAGGAAAACACATCTGTTTATACCTAAGTGTGAATGAATATCTTCCTAGAAGTTGCTTTAGCCTTCTACAGCTTCTGTTTTTTTCAATCCACCATAGTTGGGAGGTGTTCAGACTCAGGAGACAGCAGCATTTAGTTGCTAAAATATATGGAATGGGTAAAGACATTCTTAACATATACCGTCAGGGTTTATTTTAAATTCACAAGGAAGATCCTGAGGTAATTCTAAATAAATTCTTATATAATTCTTACATAATTAATTATTAGGTATTTGAGATTACGCAAACATAACAGTTACTTAATCTTTCAAATGGAAAAATGTTTCAATTGCTATAGAGGAGAGAATGGGGGTAAGGGATGATGAAAGCGTTTAAAAACAGTAATTCAAAAGTAAACATTCAGTGGGTGGTGGTGGGACACTTTAAGGCACCCAGGAGGCAGAGGCAGACAGATTCTCTGTGAGTTCAAGGCCAACCTGAACTCTACAGAGATGAGGCAACATTTTAATTTCTTACTCAGATCATTCATTACTGGTAGCTAATATCATCTGTGCCAAGGTCCCACGGCAATCAAGACCCAGCTTTGCACTGACTGGCTGCTTAGCTTTGAACACATTATTTAACTTCTGCAAGGTTCATTTACTATGGCTGAAAACAGGACCTCAAGGATGCTAAGAGAATAGTTTACACCAAGATCTCTTTGTTAACGTGAAACTAACATATCAATCTAAACCTAATATTTAGTGTCAATCACCTGGTTCTATGGGTTTTTTGTTTTTTTTTTTTTTAGACAGGTTTCTCTGTGTAGCTTTGGATCCTGTTCTGGAACTCACTCTGTAAACCAGGCTGACCTCGAATTCGCAGAGATCCTCCTGCCTCTGTCTCTCAAGTGCTGGGATTAAAGGCGGGTGCCACCACCACCAGGCTCATCTGGTTCTAACTTCACTAATGAATATCTTTTTGTTGCTCTCTCTTAACTGATCATGAGCACACCTCCAAACCTGTAATTTGCTAAATTACTAAAAACTGCTAAAGAGCCGGAAGCAACTAAAAAAAAAAAAAAATCCAGTCTCAAAATAAATAAATGAATAAAATGTCCTCAGTGGGATTATATATGGTCACATGAATTTGATCTGTTACCATGATC